TGTGCATGAGGATGACAGTGATGACTCTAGTCTTAGATACTATTTGAGAGGCCCAGGTGGAGGCTATGAGACTGGAGAACCGCAAAAGGGAGCGGGTAATTGGGCAGGTTTCCAAGTTTGAGACCGACAGTTGTGAGCTTATGACTCTCCGTGGGCGGATTTGGGTGCCCTATACAAGTGGAGCTCGTCGTGTACTGATGAAGGAGGCACATAGATCGAGATTCTCGATCCATCTGGGGGCCACTAAGATTTATTTGGACCTGAAGAGAGATTACTTGTGGCCCTGTATGAAGAGGGACGTGGCATGGGTAGTTGAGAGGTACTTAACCTGTCGTCGGGTTAAGGCAGAGCACCAGCGTCCACATGGGCCGTTACAGCCTCTAGAGATTCCCCAGTGGAAGTGGGAACAGATTTCGATGGATTTTATCACCAAGCTACCAAGGACCGCACGTGGGGTCAACGCAATATGGGTGATTGTAGACCGGTTGACGAAGAGTGCTCACTTCCTTGCTATCAGTGAGAGCTCTTCTGCAGAGAAATTGGTCGAGATCTACGTTCGAGAGGTGGTGGCACGACATGGGGTGCTGACATCGATAGTGTCAGATCGGGACGTGCGTTTTACGTACTGGTTTTGGAAGAAGTTCCACGAGGAGTTGGGTACCCGACTGCACTTCAGTACAACTTACCACCCACAGACAGACGGGCAAAGCGAGCGGACGATTCAGACGCTTGAGGACATGCTGCGTGCATGTGTTATGGACTTCAGAGGAAGTTGGGACACCTATTTGCCCTTGGCTGAGTTTTCATACAACAACAGCCACCATTCCAGCATTGGCATGCCTCCCTTTGAGCTTTTATACGGGAGGAGGTGTCGGAATCCCATCCTTTGGGGAGAGGTAGGGCAGCGAGTGATGGGTGGCACTGAGATGGTGCTGAAGATGAACGAGCAGATTCAACAGGTCAGACAGAGGTTGCTGACAGCCCAGAGTCGCCAGAAGAGTTATGCAAACCGGCGACGATCCGAGCTAGAGTTCCAGGTTGGAGATTTTGTCCTCCTAAAGGTATCCTTGTGGAAGGGGGTGATCCGATTCAGGAAACAGGGCAAGCTGGGCCCTAGATATATTAGTCCTTTCAGAGTGACCGCCAGAGTGGGTAAGGTGGCTTACCGGCTGGAGCTACCTGCAGAGTTGAGCCAGATTCATAACACCTTCCACGTGTCTCAGTTGAGGAAGTGTGTAGCCGATGAGACGGCGGTGGTACCATTAGAGGACATTCAGCTTGATGCGAGCCTGAATTACATCGAGAGACCGGTTGCGATCTTGGATCGGAAGGTGAAGGTTCTGAGGAACAAAGAGGTACCCCTGGTTCAGGTCCAATGGCAACATCGGAAAGGGTCCGAGTGGACTTAGGAGCCGGAGTCCGAGATGCGAGAGCAGTATCCAGAGTTATTTCCGGAGCATGACTTCGAGGGTGAAGTCTGATTCTAGTGGGGGAGAATTGTAACATCCCGACTCCCAGGTATTGCATTTATTTATTTATTTATTGGAATTAATGAGTGACTCGGCGAGTTGTGTGTTCGACTCGCCGAGTAAAGTTGGATTTGAGCACGCGGGTTAAATAACTGACTCGACGAGTCAGAGATGCCGACTCGCCGAGTTGGCGCTGTGTGAGGAAACCCCAAATCCCCGGGTTTGGGGCCTATTTAAGGAAACTTATGTCCTCATTTCTGCCTCACCTGAGAGAAACCCTAATCCTGTTAATTTTCCATCAGTAATTAAAGGGTAAAACGTTAAAAGTATCAAGATCAACTTCATAAAGTTTACCTGATCTATCTAAAAGATCTATCATACATGAAGATTGTTCTTCTTGTGGTTTAATGTTAAACTTTTCAATCATTAAAGTGAAGTATTTTCATCCATCTTTGACTTTTCCTGTGTGTGAACATGCTGATAAGACGGATATGAAGGTTATACTTGTAGGGGATATGTTTGTGTTAAGCATGTGTTGGAAATGATCTAATGTTTTTATTTGAAACCCATGATTTGAGTAGCCTGTGATCAGGGATTTAAGTGTGACTATATTATTGGATTTAAGAGCGAGAGAATGAATTGGTTTGCCTTAAGATGGATTGGGAGATGAGAATAGAAACATTAGAATTCAAGAAAATCAGATGAATACAAAGAAATTACGGAGGTGGAAAAAGATAAAACCCGCATTCTTTCTAATTTCTAAAGAAATAAAAATAAAGCACTTGAATTTGGGGAGAAAAGAAATTCTAAAAATAACAGGCAGAGAACCCTATGAACTAGAACGAGAACGTGATACAAATTTGAGAAAATGAAGTTGAGGACTATTTTCTTAGAGAAAATCTCAAGTTGGTTTCGCATTAGATTAATCAAATAGATGAATGTTGATATTTATACAACTAGAGAAAAACTCAATATCCACTGATTACACAAACAAAGGAGAGATGACATTGATATTGATACAACCAGAGCTACAGGAGGTAACTTTGCAATCAATAATGAAAGCTTGAAGAATATAAAATCTTATGCATCTAATAGATGTGTAACTTTTTTTTTCTTGTTTTAAATATGAAGTTATTTGATGGTAATCTGAAATTCAATTGACTTTCTCTAGTTAGGGTAAAATTTATGTGTGTTGTTGAACACCAAAAGCGAGTATAACAAAATTAGAACCCAAAATTTTTAGAAACATATACCTGAAAAACAAGAGTATCTCTCAAACGAGTGTGCTAATCCAATTTGATGGGCGTTTGAGTGATGTGGCGTCCTTGGAACAAACAAATGTGTTGTAGACAGAAGTAGATAATAACATTTTATATAAAAGATGAAGCGTTGAAGGAGAAACGACGTTACGAAAGATTGAATCGACGTAGTGGAGGTTGGGATAATTGGGATCGATGGGAGGGTTTGAGAGATAGGGAGGAGAATAATTAGGATGGATTGGAGAGGATGGGATCGACTGGAGAGACTGAGAAAAGAGGGATAGAACCTGCTATGATCTCCAAGGAAGAAGAGGTTGGGGTGTGTCGATCAAAGCAAGGAAAGTGATTCAAAGCGGGGGAAAGAAATATACAGTTCGTTGGTTTGCTCCTCCGAAATAATTTCGTTGCTGATCTTTCTCTCTCTCTCTCTCTCTGTATGTATATATATATATATATATATATATATATATATATATATATATATATATATATATATATATAGATATATATATATATATATAGGGAAAGGATCAAATGAGAACACCTAAAAGGTTGAGAACGCGAGAACAGTTCTGGACCAATCAATATATAATGTCATATTAGTAATTGTATATTTTAATTAAATTAAAATAAAATAAAATCAATCAAATTCGCTTAAATTTAGGATCAGTTACCAAAAAAGAAGGAAATATTATTTTTTATTTTTCTTATTAATGAAATATAAAAAACATTTTTATAAAAAAAAATTCAACTAAAAACATTTAATTTTTTTTCTTAAAAAATAATTTTTTTCTCGTATTTCATGTTTTTTTTCTAAAATATTAATAGAAATCCAACCCCAAATCAATTCATTTGTATTCATAAGCGATTTTTTTTTCAAAAAAACTAATACTACTACAATCACAAATGAATACATATCAATTTACAAGTAATCCACCTTTCTTTTAATCAACCGACAATAAAAGGGGTGTAAAAATTATCATTTCTTCATAAAAGAATACCTTTAATCATAAATAAATACACTTACTCATACAAATGAATACATTGTTATTAACAAATGAATACCCTGGTATTCACAAATGAATAAAAGAATACATCTACTCATAAATAAATACACTTATTTACACATGATTACACTGCTATTTATAATTGAATAAATTGTTATTAACAAATGAATACCCTGGTATTCACAAATGAATCAAAGAATACATCTAATCATAAATAAATACACTTATTCAAACATGATTACACTGCTATTTACAAATGAATACATTGTTATTAACAAATGAATACCCTGTTATTCACAAATGAATACCTCTCTCACGCATTTCATCAAACAACCCAATCGTCCCAAATACAAAGCCAATGAACCCGATGTCAAATACGCCCTCCACAACCAAAGATAATCCTTATACAAAGCTGGAAGTAACACAAATCCAATGATGCCCCTCTTGCTCATTGGTAATTACTCTTTTCCATTTTTACCCTTCATTTTCCTTTTTACCCTTCCTTTTGTATGTGTAATGTAACAGTGGCATAGCACAAACTTTCCCACACAACCTGTAGAACGGATCACTTGAAGATACAAAAACAATCAATAATGAACTCTAGAGTATCTGCCACAGTGAAGACCTGCAAACAAATCAATGATGTTTTGAGAAAATTGGCAATTCACAAACTTTCCCAGCCACCCTGTGTTTTTACTCTTCAAATTGCTCCTGCGATTCCGAAATCAAAATCCACCAAGAAAAAAGTATAATCAACTAACCTTAAAAAATCTAAACATCCAAAAATTGAATATAATAGAATTTGGATGTAATTAGACCTCAACTCCATGTTCTTGACTGAATCGCTCCACCACAAAATGAATTTATGTTAAAATGACAATCAAGGAATTTTTACAAGGGCTTGATATCAATCGACATTATGAACTTGGAAAACAGAAATACGAAATTGATTTAACTCGTACCTTTTTCCGGCCACCACCGATTGAGCTCCGCCGTTTCCCTCTCTGGTGGTCAGCGTTGCTGCCATCGGCGACTACCCTGCCCTTATTTCAGTTCTCGTGACCACACAGAAACACAGGGAGATTGAGAACCCATGTGCGTTCGATTTATTCCCTCTGCATCTCGATTTCCTTTAACCAAATTACCTCAAATTGTGTTTCATGCTTCGAATCCACTCCCGTCTCCTCGTCTCAGATCCTCGTCTTTTATGATATTTGCATCTCAAGTATGGCGGAGACGGGTCTAAGGTGGATATAGACGCCTGAATGGTCGGGGAAGTCGACGTCGCTGCACCATCTTCGGCGAAGCTTGCGTTGTCAGGGCCAGGACAGCAGAAAGAGGCGGCGGCGTTGCAGATTGTTGAGAGGTAAATGGATTGTTGAAGATCGAAGACGAAGGAGAAATGGGATGCTTTCTGGATGAGTAGAGAAAAAAAAGCGACTCCATCAATAGTCTTTATCTTCACAGCAGCTTGCAGGTCCGATTAGGAGGGGGTGAGAGGGAAGAGGCGGATGTTTTTTTAGTCCTGGCTTCCATCGATTAGGGTTTAAAGGAAACGAGAGAGAAAGATAGAGAGAGAGAGAGAGAGAGATTTTAGGAGTTGATAAAAATAAGATGTTGATAAAAATAAGATAAAACCTAATGACTATAGTACCCTTTTAGGTAATTAGGAAGTTACAGTTTAATCCTATGACTTTCAGAATTTATATAAATGGCCCGTTAATATTAACCTTTGATTTTAAAATTTAGAAGGCTTAGATCTGTTCTCGCGTTCTTAACATTTTAGTTGTTCTCATTTGATCCTACTCATATATATATATATATATATATATATATATATATATATATATATAGAGAGAGAGAGAGAGGAAGGTTAACTTGATAATAAAAAATGAGCCACACATTTCATCATTTGACGATTAAACGCTCCAATGTATCTGTACGACGAGAATTTTAATATTCATAAGTGAATATAAAAGTAAATATATTTATATATGAATATTATGTGGTATATTCACGTATGATTCTTCATATATTATTGTAGTGGTTGGTGGTAGAGCTGATGGCGGTGATAAAAGAAAATGGAGGTGGTGGCGCTGCATATTCATATATGAATATTACCTCTCTCATTGTGCCGGTACGTTGAAGCACTTAAGCGGCAATAAAAAGAAATGTATAACTCATATTCATTCTAAGCATTCTTAACTTTTTTTTCATTCTCGAATGAACTTTATATATATATAGATATATAATATATATATATATATATATATATATATATATATATAATATATATATATTATATATATAAGATAAAACCTAATGACTATAGTACCCTTTTAGGTAATTAGGAAGTTACAGTTTAATCCTATGACTTTCAGAATTTATATAAATGGCCCGTTAATATTAACCTTTGATTTTAAATTTAGAAGCTTAGATCTGTTCTCGCGTTCTCAACCTTTTAGTTGTTCTCATTTGATCCTACTCCTATATATATATATATATATATATATATATATATATATATATATATAGAGAGAGAGAGAGAGAGAGAGAGAGAGGAAGGTTAACTTGATAATAAAAAATGAGCCACACATTTCATCATTTGACGATTAAACGCTCCAATGTATCTGTACGACGAGAATTTTAATATTCATAAGTGAATATAAAAGTAAATATATTTATATATGAATATTATGTGGTATATTCACGTATGATTCTTCATATATTATTGTAGTGGTTGGTGGTAGAGCTGATGGCGGTGATAAAAGAAAATGGAGGTGGTGGCGCTGCATATTCATATATGAATATTACCTCTCTCATTGTGCCGGTACGTTGAAGCACTTAAGCGGCAATAAAAAGAAATGTATAACTCATATTCATTCTAAGCATTCTTAACTTTTTTTTCATTCTCGAATGAACTTTTATATATATATATATATATATATATATATATATATATATAATATATATAAATTATGAAAGTCATAGGATTAAACTGTAACTTCCTAATTACCTAAAAGGGTACTATACTCATTAGGTTTTATCTTTTATATATATATATATATATATATATATATATATATATATAAGAGTTGGAATTTAGAAACCCTTAATATACATTATTTATTCCATTGGTTTTTGCTTTGTATTTTTGTTCACACTTCCACTAATTTCAAATATATTTGCCTCCTTCAGTATAACAATCCCACCAACCTTCCCTATTTCTGTTCGACAACCCCATTGTTCACATTCTAAACACCAGATATTCATGGAACAAGATTCACCACCAAACTTGGTTCTTTTTAATTCCCATCAAAGCCAAGAATTCCATCCCCATAACGACGACTACGAAGACGACGAAGCTTTATCTCTTGGTGATCTCGCCACCAGCAAACACGAAGTCCCGAAAGCTAATCGTCCGGAAGAACAATTTTCCGACGATCTTGAACAAGATTTCGACTTCGGTGGCGACGGAAACTGTTTGCCGGAAAATAAAATGTGCAGCGCCGACGAGCTTTTCTTCCGTGGTCAAATTCTGCCGTTACAGCATTCAGTCACTTTACCTTCTCAGTTAATAACCGATGGCCAGAGCTTCATCCGCTCCATCTCATTTTCCGGATCCGAACCTGCAAGTGTGGTTAGCAGCAGAAGCAGCAGCACTCGTAGTAATAATTCAGGAACCAGTGGGAGTGGTAGTACGTCAGGATCCGAATTCACCAAAATTCGAAACCAGTTCCATTCCCACCCGAGTCCGACGCCACAGATCCGAACCCGTAGCGTTCATCACTCCAACCCGAAAACATCATCAAAGTGGAGCTTTTTACAGTTGGGTATGATAAAACCACAAGAAATCGGATTGGAGGATCTCAAGAATCGTAGCCAGAGAAGCCATGGGAGTAGCAGAAGCATCAGCATGAACATGAAGGATCAAAATCAGAATAATAAGACGAAGAAGATGCAACTAGCGTTGTTTGGAGGGTGTAAATGTTCTGCAAATGCCATCGAAAACACAGTTTATTCGAGGATTCCGATGGTCAAACCAACAGGTTTGAAAGAAGAAGAGACCAAATCGCGAATTTCGAAAGAAAGTAACGTTGGAAGAAGTAAAAGAATTTTTATTTAAATTAAATTGCTCTACAATACAAGTATATAAATATTACACACACTATAGGGCATTAAGTTGAGATTGTTTAAACTTTAGGGTTGCTTTGAATAAATGGAAAAATTCATTGGTTGATGGTTGCTCGTGTACTGGAAAACCATTCAACCACCAACCACCATTCCTCATCTAACATTCTAAAATATGTTTGTTGGTTGACAACCCCCAAACATGTCACATTGTTAAAATCTAACCCCCAGTGGAAATAACCTTTCTATTTAAGTACCTTCCTCATCATGCTTCAATTCATCCACAAGACCTCAAAGTTCCTAAGAAAATGGTGGTCAAGGTATATGGTCCAAATAGGTCAGCTTGCACACAGAGAGTATTGGCTTGCTTTTTGGAGCTTGATGTCGACTTTGAGCTCATAAAAGTTGATCTCAACTCCAACGAACATAAACAACCCAAGTTTTTACTAAAACAGGTAAATCTTTTGTTGTAACACATACTAATGTACTCGTATATCTTATGTACGTTTGTAGTGAGCTATCATGCAAAATTACAAACTGCTAAAACTGTGTTATCCTTGTAGCCTTTTGGTCAAGTCCCGGTTGTTGAGGATGGAGATTTTCGGCTTTTTGGTAATGTGACATACATACGATGTCATTCATTGTTAAACATCATTAAAATAATCTAACTCTTTCAAAATTTTGTGTAGAGTCAAGGGCAATCATAAGATATTATGCAACAAAATACGCTGAAATAAATCAAAAGCTTTATGGAACTACTTTTGAGGAGAAAGCCTTAGTTGACCAATGGCTAGAAGTCGAAGCGCATCACTTCAATGACATGGTTTACACAATCGTTCTTCAGAAACTTATCATCCCAGAAATGGGAGGGAAAACTGACTTTGTCCTTGTTCAGAATTGTGAAAAGAAGCTTGAGAAAGTGTTTGAAGTTTACGAAGAGCAACTATCGAAGCATAGGTATCTAGTTGGAGATTGTTTCACCCTTGCTGATCTAAGCCACCTTCCTGGGATTAAATACTTGATGAATGAAGCTGAACTAGGGTACATGGTGACAAAGAAGAAGAATGTGAATTCATGGTGGAGTGATATTTCAAACCGACTTGCTTGGAAGAAACTTATGCTTCTCGTGGACTAAGTCATGTTTTTTTATTTTAGTATCATGTGTAGTTTAAACTTTCTATCGTTGATGACTTGTTGCTTTCTTATAGGAGTTACAATGAACTTGGAGTTTGAAAGTTGAAATAAATCGTTGTTTTGCTTTTTGAAATAAACCGTTGTTTAGCTTTTGGATCATCATGGGTTTTTGGGTATATCAGTCTTTCTTTTCAAAGTTAATTATAGCACATAATTAATAATCATTTGACCAAGTTAAGATTAGGTAACTTTATATTAATCTTCGAAAGTAGTTTCTTATAATAAATTTTTACTTGTTTTTCTACATCTGAACTGTCGAGTCATCCAACATCAGAATGGTTAAAGCAGCTTTCCATTCAAGAAAGTGCTACTCTTTAGATTCAGCGCACATAAATTCCAACTCAAAATTATATCCTTTGATTTATAAAATAAATATATTAACTTTTTGACTTGATTTTTATATTTTATAATTTTGCTCAAATTCTCATAAATTGTCAATTTTCATTTAGGTTTTCTAATAAATTTGAACATCTCAATCTAATCCAAACGTTTTAATTAATTTAGTTAAATTTCCAACCAAACATGTTTAATAAATAATCTGAAATCTAGTTAGAATGTTTGATTTTTTCCGACTTATTAAATTTATTAATTAAATGGATGAATCTGGGTTATTTCAAAAAATAATACAAAACAAATAACCTGTTTAAATAAATTACAAGATCTAATAATTATTCAAATAAAATTTTAAAAAATAAATAAATTACAATACTTAAATAGCTACCAATGTGAAACTTTAGTATAATAATGGGGTCCATTTCCAGGTCATGCTACAATATGTCCAAATGATATTATACTAACGTTCTGGACAAACAGTTACTATTAAGATATGTGGCTCTTTCATCTTCAAGTGCATCATTTGGCAATCTAGCGAAGAGTCCAAAATGCTAAAATTGTATGTGGATCAGAAAACAACACAAGTTAAAATTGGCATGTAATATAATATATAAACTATACTATAATCTAATGGCATATAATCTAACATGTCACAAAACGGTAGGGGTAAAACCAAAAAAAATTTGGAAGCTCAAAAAAAAAATTCACGGCATGTGAGTGAGTACTTAGTGAGGCCAGAGTAGCTTGGGATGACCGGTTGATCATCTGTACTTTCGTTTTGGGGGTGAGATGTAGCAGACACGATACTATTCATCGAATTTACTATTCATCAACACTATTCATCGAAGTTACTATTCATCAGCACTATTCATCGAAGTTACTATTCATCATCACTATTCACATATTTTTTTTGCAATTTTGGGTATGATTTTCTTGTTCGTTTCTGTATTCAGTTTGATCTGATTTGTTCGTTTCAAAAACTTTGAGGGTTTCGTTTCTTCTGTTGGTTTTGTTGATTTTGAGATCTTGATTGTTGCTGTTGTTATTCGTATTTGCTGTCGTTTTGGTTATTTTCGTTTGACTGCTATTAGAAATATGGCCCCGGGAGATGATTCTCTTCAGTCCATTAGTATCCAACTTGATGTCAAGAACTATGCCTATTGGAGTTATGTTATGAAGAATTTTTACAATGCAAGACTATGTGGGGGATTGTTACAGGTGACAGGAAGAAATCAACAGACGAGAAGGCTGATAATTATGCAACCTTACTGGATTCATGGGAGACTGATAACTCCAAGATCATTACTTGGATTAATAATTCTATTATCCAGTCTATTGGTACTCAGTTGGCGAAGTATGACACATCAAAGGAGGTTTGGGATCAGTTGGTTAGGTTGTATACTCATTTTAACTTTGCAAAGAAGTATCAGTTAGAATTTGATATTCGAGTCCTCTAACAGAACAATCTCAGTGTTCACGAATTTTATGCAGCTATGTCAGATTTGTGGGATCAGTTGGCTCTTACAGAACCTGATGTGTTGAAGACTTTTAAGCCTTATCTTGATAGAATGGAAGAGCAATGTTTGGTTCAGTTCTTGATGGCATTACGTTTAGATTTTGAAGGCATGCATGGATCAATCTTGCATCACACACCTCTTCCCACTGCTGATTCGGTTGTTCACGAGTTGATTGCTGAAGAAACTCGTATCAAGTCCCATGCTAAAAAAAGGTCCCAAGACAACCACTCCTGCTGTCTTCGCTGTTCCACAACGACCTCAGTCTTCAAACCAAAAGCATCCCAAAGTTACATTTGATGAGTGTGCTTTCTGTAAGAAGAATGACCATTGGAAGGCAAATTGTCTTTTGCTGGCAAGCAAGGGAAATCAGCAGCAACAGCAAACGAGATCGCATGCACAGTCTCAGCCTTCACAGCAGAGCACGTCTTCTGGACAGTCACGTCCCTCGTTTGCATCTTTTAGGCCACCATAGTACGTTGCTGCTACACCTTCAATTGAGAATGAAACAGATTGTACATCACCATCAGCCTTGGATACACAGATTGTTGAGCAGTTTAGACAGTTCATTGCTGCCAATCCAACTGCCATGTCAGCTTCCATGTCTCATTCAGGTCTGTCTTCATCCAACACATCAGGTATTCTTTCATCCTTGTGGATATTGAATTATGGTGCATCTCATCACATGTCACCACATTTGTCATCTTTTGCATCATTATTTTCTCTTACACCTATCTCTGTTATTTCTATTAGTGCTACACCCATGTCAGTAGAGGGTGTTGGTTCTATTGTCACTCTTTCTATATCTTTAACAGATGTGTATTACATTTTCACACTTGCTTTGAATCTTGCATCGGTCAGTTAGTTGTGTAAATCTGGTTGTCGGGTCTTCTTTTGTGATTCACTTTGCTGTATACAGGACTTTCGGTCTCGGAGGGTGTAACACACAAAAAATATGGTCCCAAAATTTTATTTTAAATTATTAAATAAACGGTAGTTATCAAAACATTCCATGAAAAGCGTGTATTAAAATATCCATAACGATAAAAATCAGAGTAAACATCCCAGCCTGAACATCATGGTATGTGCAATGCAGTCATCCCATGCTCTTTCCTTCGCTACCAAAAGTACCTGAAACCAAAACTGAAAACTGTAAGCAAGAAGCTTAGTGAGCTTCCCCAAACTTCCACATACCATACACATAATCACATATAGACATACCGTGGGCCCCGCCCCTTCATCGGGTCCCGCCCGGCATCGGTCAATGTCCGGCATCGGGCCTCGCCCGGCATCAGACAATGTCCAGCATCGGGCCCCGCCCGGCATCGAGCTGAGCTCGACATGCATATAAACATATCAACAATACACATATAATAATCACATAGCATAAGCATATAAACATCCATCGGGTACCGCCTGGCATCGGACCGAAATCCGTAAAGCATATAAACATTCATCGGGCACCGCCCGACATCGAACCTTAGTCTGGAAAACATATAAACACAGACACATGCAAGAATCATGAAGACATCAATCATACAAACATTCCTCGGGCATCTCCCGACATCGAACCGTAGTCCGAAAAGCATATATACCTTCATCGGGCACCGCCCAGCATCAGATCGAAATCCGAAACATAAAATCATACATACAGGCCGACATTGGTGCCTTCGACCTATTCCTACAGGAGGAAAATTCACCTCGATCCGCTGCAATCTGATAACACTCGGCTGCCGAACCGGAAATCCCACACTAACAACAAATAAATCCCAATTAATAATTATGCCATAACCCATTAACTGCGACCGCAACTCATAAGTCCCGACTCCTAGGGTAAAAGACCATTTTACCCTTTCCTTAATCGGTCCAACCCAAATATGGCCCAAGGCCCAGTAATGGCCCAACAACACAACTCGAGGCCCAACCCAAACCTAAGGTCCACTCAAAGTCGTGAGGCCCAACCAGAGCCCAAACAGATAATTCATAGCCCAAAGAAACAAGCTCGAACCCCAAGACAAGTCCATGATCAAAAGGCCAAAAAGCCCACTGATGAACCGAACGCGTTGCCTTCCCTGGTGGAGTGCAGGGCGTTCGTTCCCGAAATGAACGCATGGCGTTCCCGGCCATTATCCAAAATTACCCCAAACGTCTTAATACCTTAAGTCCAACGTTCAACTCCTCAAAATAGTTTCATATAAGTGACTTAATCCATAAAGTTGTCAACTTGGAACCTTTGCATGGCCCAAAAGGACCCAATCATGATTTCAAGCCTTGTAACTACATAAAGAGGCCAAGATGCAAGCTTTTACCTTAAGACCTTAGTCCAAACTTCCAAATCTGATTCAAAGGGACTTCTCAAGTCATAAAGTTTCCAACTTTATAACTTAGCATAACTCAATGGACCCAAATCAAAACCATAAGTCCCCAAACTTCATCAAACAACTACGAAATCATGCATCGAAGGTCTACACCCATCAAGTTCCAAACTATATGAATCCATAACCTTAACAAGGACCAAATATGAAGTTCAAAGGTTCTGGAGTAACTTCTACTCACAAGAACCACCTCAAAGGGACCAAAACTATAACAAAATACCACTTAGCTAGATCTACATGAAAGAGTTGTCAAGGTTGAGACTTTATGCCTCCAGAAGATAGTTCTAGGTGCATAAAGCCTGGATCCAAAAGCTCCAAATCAAGCAATGACTCTTCAAGAAGTTCCTTCTTCCTCCTCAAGCACCAAAATACTCGTAAATCACTTTAAAGCTCAAAAATCACTCAAATTGAGGCTAGGGTTTCATTCTTAGGGTTAGAGGGGATGGAGGCTGAAGAATGGAAGAGGTGTGGGTCCATAATGATGCTTATAAAGGGACCAAACCCTAAAAACGAGCTTTTGAATCTGCCCAGCGAACACACTGCGTTCCCTTGGGGAACGCCCTGCGTTACTACACAGACCCGCAACCATTTTCCTTGAACGCCATGCGTTCGGGTACGCCTCGCGTACCTGGTACGACCCAAAACCCTTTTAACTTCAAATGGTCATAACTTTTGCGTCCTTTATCCGTTTTTGGCGTTCTTTATATCCTCGGAAAGGTAACGAGAAGCCCTACACTTCTATCAACTTTATTTAGCCTAAAAACCAACCGAACTTAAATCCAAAATTCATAAAAG